ATGACATCACTATCACCTCAAGTCACATCCAGAAAGCAGCTCGCAGAATAAACAGAGTGCTCTGGTTTCAGGTGTTGGCAAGGAAACAGCTTGAGTTCACATTTCAGTCAGAAAAGAAAAAGAAAGGAGAGAGAGAGAGAGCTAGCATTCTGAAAAGGGCTGGGGAAGCTGCAATAGCCAGAAGCAAAACTGCAACAGAGAAAGAAACTACTGAGTAACAGCAATGAGAGGCATGACTGGAAGTGACGCTTGCTGCATTCTCACTGTGTGTATGAAGTTTCACGCTGAAGACAGCTAGAAACCAAGCCCTGGTTACACAAGTAACAGAAACAGCCATCAGAAATGCAGATTATCTATCCTAATCTGCCTTAAAATTTCTGCTTCAAATTATAACTGTCTGTGGATAAAGAATCCTTCAGCCAGGCAACACTAAGCCTACCCCAGCTAAGCAGCACCTCTTACCTCAGGGGGAGATTTAAGGCTCCATGAAGAAAGCAGCTCATCTCACAAATAAAGCACACACAAATTTCAACAGTATCCAAGTGATGCTTTTTTTTAAATTACAGGTTAATAGAGACAATCAAAACAAGAAAGGAGTACCTTCAGCATTGTTTTTTGTCCAGTTATTCCATAAGTCCGTGCTAATGGATGAAACAATAAGAGCTGACTCTTCACTCAGTGCCCCCATTGCTGTGTAATGCAAATAGATGCTTACTGTAACAGAAAAACTCAGTATATTTATTCAAGATTCATATCATCCACAAAACATGCACCCACTTAATACACTTCTGATACCATGTAGCAATACAATAACCATTCATTTCAAACATTCTTGCCTCAAACTGCCCTTTGCCACAGAGAAATGATGACTGTGCAGAAACTAACTATTGTTTGTGAACTTCCAAAACACACATCCATTCTGTTCTCCACCATCACTTTATGCCATTTACAACACAGATACCTGCAATATACTACAATGATATAACTAGAAGTAGCTTCTTTTCATGGGGTCTACATTATACCCTATTAGTTTCATCCAAGTTTAAAACCACTTAAGTAATTCTGCTTTGCAACACCTTTGAATGCTTCTCACCCCTGCTGCTTATTTCATAAGAAGCTAAGTGTTGTTCAACAAAGCAATGCACCTTATGACACCCAGGAACATACCTTTCAGCAAAATATAGATAAGCATTCCAAATGCCATGGCACGCAGCTGCTTGAAGCACCTTCTCAGTTCCTCTGTCCAGGCAGCTCACGCAGCTTATCTGGGCTCCCGTGTCTTCTCTCGCACTTATATGCCATGAAGCGTCATCTGCTGCTCTCACCAATCAAGAAAAGGTGCATCTGGCAACAACCTCAGCCCCTGGGGCAACCACACATTTATTTAGGAAACTGCTATTATCTAGCAATGGGATCAGTTTTTCTTTTGAAACCCTGGTTTCCTATTACCCGTGGGCATAATTGTGCATGAAAAGGTACAGTTTTCAAGAGAGACGTGGTATCTGTCAGAGCAGGTCAATGAAATACAGCAAAACAGAGGCAAGTAAAATGAAGAATGATGTACTGTGGAAGATGTGACCTTTCTTTCCCATAGCAATGGAGTCTTGTGTTACTTCCAGGAGACCAGTCAGCATTCAGGATGCTACTTGAGGGTTCAGGGTCTGAGGACCAGCCCCTGTTTGCTTGTGTTCCTTCCCTGGTCCTCTGTGTACTGCATCCAGAAGAAGAACCATGAGAACAGCTGCTCCTGATGTTACAAACTGGTCAGACACAGAGATAATGGATGATGTTCTCCACTGGTGACTGCAGTGAGAAGCCTTTGCTGACAGGCTCTGGGGAGCCCATGAGGCACATGCTGATGGTTCCTCAGCCAGCCTTCCCTGTGCACAACCCTCTGAAGCAGGACAGACCACCAGCCCTGCACCAGGCATGGGATGCTGGCTGAAGCTATGCACAGTTGCGTGGAGCAGAAATTGAAAGCTGGTTAAGCACAGGCACAAAGAAGACAGCCAGAAAGAGCAGGTAAGCTCTGGCCTCCTGTAACAGGAAATCCCTTCATTACTCCTGCCACTACACTGCTATAAAAGCCCATCTCCACCTTTTCAAAGTGGGTATGCATAATGGGAACTATCATGCTTTTTACATGAAGTATTTACAGGTCTCTAAGACATATCTGTTACACTCATTTCTCACACTAAATGTCCCTCCTCAGCCCCAAATGCTGTCCAGCTTCCTTGGGCACAAGCGCTGGGAACTAGTAGGACTAGTTGACTCTCCAAAGGTAGAGCCAAACATACTAGAACCAGCAATACACACACAGCAACAGCCTGACTCTGGCTGAAGGAGAGCTACACACTTCACCCCAGCAACACCTTCCACAACTGATCTCCAAACAACAAAAACATTTCATAGTTTTTGTATTTTACAGCCAAAAATCTCCCGATAAAAACTTCAATAACTCCAGTCTGCTCAAGTTCTCCCTCTATGCTCCACTCTCCCAAGAGATCTTCAGGATTCAATCTAACCACTTCACATGTTAAGGGAAAAAACACAAGCTAGTTCTGCACATTTTAATTATGCCTTCTCCTGCTCATGGACTGCATTCCACAAGGCATTTCCCTTCCTTTGCTATCCTGAATTGCTGCATGCCTGCACGCTGATGGAGTACAGCCTGCACACAGGAGTGTTTCTGCCTGCCTGGATAACCTCTGCTATCAGTCCCTAGCAGGACCAAGGCTCGTGAGCCCTGCTTTCAACACACATCTACACAATAGTAGCTTAATCCAGCGTGAATCCACGATGTGGCTTTGGCATTAGGCAACAGACCTGGGTGCGGCAGGCCCATGAGAAGGCTCCAATGGATAAGGCTGGGCCTCTGTCCACTACAGGGTGTTCATGGTTGGACCAGGCCTGGCACATGAGCATGCTTTTTGGGGTGGTTCATAGGCCCTTCCCTCTGGTTGCTCCTTCTGGATGTTCCCCCAGTGGAGAATGCTCTCATAGATGCATCTGGCAGCTCTGAACATAGCACGCTGCTGATTAACACCTCGATCTCACTAACTTTTGTGTAATGCTAACCCAACCGCAGAGGTGAGAAATTAAAAAGCTTTAGATGACAATAAACTGTTTGCAAAGCATGAAAGAAGCAGACTTGCTCAAGTGAGATAAGCGTAATGCCATAAATTGTTATTCTGCCAAAAAAAAAAAATGCAGAGATGATTAGAGTTAAATCCAAGGAAAGAAACACTGATCTAGAACAGAAAGGTAAACAGATGAAAAACCTCATGACTGAACATGCAGAGGACATCCATTCACTCCACTTGTAACACACTGATACAAGAAAAAAAACACCACAGTCACTCCCAAAAGCATGTTAAAATTTCCCCCCAAGACTAATGTAAGAGTAAACAAGTCTTATTCCATCTCAGCCGATGCTGGGCTGATCAGTCTTCTCTCCACAAGCACCTTGATCCTCCTTACAGTTGTAACTACTGCTTAATTTTAAATGGATAAGCAAGTTCACGCACTCTTGGCACTACACCTTTAGCAATGATTCTGGCAGCCTCTTTGGTAAATGCTGCATTCAACAGAACTCTTGGGAATTCCATCACAAGAACCATCAGCAGAGAAGTGGTGCTCCATCCTGGTTCTTTTATTACAATAAGAGCATTTATTTTGTTTAACACAGGAGTATTTTGCCACAGGTTTTTTTAACTCCCTTTTCAAGTTATCTAGAGTCTACTGGCAAACACCTAAAGCTCTTGATAAAAATAAATCAAAGCTATCCCAACTGAGATAAAAACACCAAGACAGAAGTCCAAAGTGGCTTCAATGGGACCTGGGGTAGGCTCTTCACGTCAATAGTGCACACAGTTCAACTGCCACCTTGGCAGTCACTCCATTCCAACTTCCACATTGCATGAGACTAGTCTAGAGCCATCTTGGAACTAAAATTTTTAGCAATAGAAAAGTACTGATCTTAGTATCCCATCTAGCCTTCTCTAAGCGGTAAAACATTGTAGCCAAGGATTCACAGAGCTGAGCCTTACACTGCGGACTAAAAACAGCCCTTCGTGCAGTTTTGGAAATCAAGAGAATAATTACTTAATAATGGCTTAAAATTCCAACACAAACACTTCATTAGGGATAACCTCTTGCTTTTTTTTTCCTCTTCTTCCCCCACCCTGTTATACATATGATGTATGTACACGGTAGTTTTAACTACGTTCTGCCTAACTGAAGTCTGATCTAGCCCAGACACCTATTCAGTTTCTTGCGAAGGGTGAGGGTGTTACGCACCAAGACATTTTGTCAAACAAATCCAGACATGGAAAGAAAATAGTGCTGGCCTCCATTCTATCGCCTCACTCATGCATACCTCTTGCAAACGTTCAAGAATTTCACCAGTGTTCAGGTTCACTTGACTGTTTTAAAACATGTATTGAGGTTTTGCAGTCATGTCAACATTATTGCTGGACAGCTGAAAGAAAAAATTGTCTTTCGCTCCTTCCAGATTCAAGATTTCTGCTGCTATTTCCAAGTGTTTTAAAAAATAATAATTTTAAGACTACAAACTACACCCAGAGTGCTTCATGACGTCAGAACCCAAATCATATTTTTAAAACCTATCTAGCATGTTGAAAGTAAGTTTTCATGCTGTTTGACCAAAACTGCAGTTCCAGATGCTTACAAGACCTTGGTACTTGCACCCCATCCCCAAACACACAGGTACATTTGTAATTCATGCTGCTGCTTCATTTTCACTCAGGTAATAGATCATCACCACCAGATCTGCATAGGCTGCATTCTCCTTTTTAGCTCACAAGTCAGAAAGAGGTTACACAAAGGATTTGAACATCTTGTAAACCATTGGCTTTAGCATACTTTACATGAAAAATAAATACAATGTAGAAATAAATATCTTTGTAGTAAAAAATAAAAATTTTGTGTATCAATAAATAGAACAACTTGGATTCTTCTTCCAAAGGAGCCCACTTGCTCTAGTAAATGAGCTTTTTGGTAACTATGAGTGTGTTCTTCAGAAGCATTGCAACAGTCATAGGTCCTACCCCTCCCGGCACTGGAGTGATAAAGGCAGCCTTCTTCTTCACTTCTAAGAGAAAAGAGAAAAAGGTATTAACTAAAAGAGTTTCCAAACTCTTTTTGTTCCTTCAATTGTCCACAAGCACTTAACTGGCAACAAGCACCAAGGTCTATGACTTGGCAAATGCTGGAGAATTTGGGACAAGTGAAGGCAGACAAGTTTTTATCACCTAGTTCTTACAGCCAGGGTAGTGAAAGGACATGATTAGAACTGGGCTGCAAGGTCATCTTCTTCTGAATATTATTACCCAGGGCTAGTTCTGGGGAATGCTTTCACAACCCATATGAGCTGATCTACCTGCAGCAGGCTGCCCTTTCCTCCTGGGAGCCTGTGCTCAGACAGACGGAAAATTAACCCCACCGGATTTTTTGCTAAGGGGCAGTTTGTGACTACTGTTTGACCTGACTGACCAGCTGTCCCAGGAAGGTCTGGGTGACGAGACAGGACACCCCCAGGAGGGCAGCAGGGACTTGCACCACCTCCATCTGCCAGCTGGGATACTGCACCTTCAATATCCAGGAGAGCTACGGAAGGTAGGGACCTGATCCTGTAGGTAAAGAGGTGCCTCCCTAAACAGTGTGTGCTGCTGAGAAGCAGCATGCAGAGCAGGAGTCTGCTCTCTCAGAGCCAAGAGCAGAGCACCAGCACCAGCACCAGTTAAGTCATCTAACAGCCCCTTTCCCCTCCTCTTGCTTGCACCTTCTGTCAAAAACATTCCGTGATCACAAAAGGGAACTTAAACCACAAAGGAAGAAAGTAGTTTCCTGGTTCATTTGTTTGTCTGTTTCATACTACGGACAGAGAACAAAACCAAGAGTTGTCTGCAAGAGAAATATAGATCCTAGTGGCAAAACTCCCACTGTGACTTCAGCCACAAACTCAGCTCCTCCAGAGGAGACTTGAGTTTTTTACCCAGTGTTACTATGGTGCCTATATTGAACTGGGATTCAGAAGTGTAGATCTTCACCAAGTCTCCAACAGAAAGAAACTCTTAACAGCTGAATTAACTCTAACCATGAACCATGTAAGACTATCCAAAGTCAGTAAACACCTTGAATGCTTGTGTTAAGAGGTAAATCCATACAGATTATTTAGTTAGTACCTCTTTGGACAAGAAATTAATATAACGCAGCAATAAATCCTGAGTTGATACTCTTATCTACTGCACAAAATGCAATCAACTGGAATTGCAGGTTACTTGCATAGGAATTAGATGCAACTGGCTGGGAATTCAGCACATAACTAATGAGCATTTATTGGCTAATAATGGTTACTCCAAATGGCGTATTATTAACTTAGTTACTACAGAGAATTTTTCTCAAGTGCCACTATGAGAAGTTTTTTTGCTTGTTAGTTTGGGGTTTTTTTTGCTTGCTTATGAATAATTTCATGGCAACTCACAATCTGCTTTTAAAAAACACTGTATTTGAAAAGGCACACACACATACCCACAAGAACACTGAGCAAGCACAACTCTGACACAAGCACATACACTTCCATTGAAGTCACTACAAAGCAGAACCTCCTACACCTGGCCCTGAGAAAAGTGCAACAGATGGAAAATTAGGCACCTGGCTGTCGGAGCTAAGACGATAATTTGCACCTGCTTTAAGTGTATTCATCCTGAATGTATGTGGCACTTTACTGTTGAGAATCAGAGAATCATAGAACGGTTTGGGTTGGAAAAGGACCTTAAGATCATCTATTCCAACCCCTTGCCATGGTCACGCTAGAGCATGTCACCCAAGGCTCTGTCCAACCTGGCCTTGAACACTGCCAGGGATGGAGCATTCACCACTTCTTTGGGCAACCTGTGCCAGTGCCTCACCACCCTCACAGGAAAGAACTTCTTCCTCAGATCTAACCTGAACTTCCCCTGTTTCAGTTTAAACCCATCACCCCTTGTCCTATCACTAACATCCCTGATGAAGAGTCCCTCTCCAGCACCCTGGTAGGCCCCCTTCAGATACTGGAAGGCTGCTCTGAAGTCTCCACGCAGCTTCTCTTCTCCAGGCTGAACAGCCCCGATTTTCTCAGCCTGTCAATAACATAACAAGGTCTCAACAAAATAAATATTACAAGAGAATTTGAAAAGCTGGGTATCAGTGGTTTTTGGACAGAAGATTTATTAGATTTTACGGGATAATAAATGAAATAGAACCTGCTGTCTGAACATTTGGTCCCCCAATGCAGGGACCAAACAAAAGCATTTAGGGAAGTTAACGGTGATTATCTCACTGAACTGAGGCACAAAAGATTAAGCCTCATTGAGGACAAATGGTGATTACAACTGGGAGGGTTTTAATTACCAAGTTGACTGGTACCACCAGATATAGTGTGAAAATATTTGGAAGGGTCAACGAATTATTATGTGGTTCTTTTCACATGTAAACTCTAACAAATTAATTCAGCTCTCCCATGAAAGTTATCCTTACTATTCTCCAGCACCAATAATTTGTCTTTTTAATAGTTACATTATTTTGTTCTACCTCCCATTTGAGCCTGGTGTTTATGGTTAGCAGAGTTACTCCAAATCCTCAAATTCAGGTCCTAATTATTGAAATTTACCCACATCTAAAGTAAACACAGTAATTAACAAAGAAAATATTTGGGACATTTCAAATTGAAATGTTTGTTTCTATGGCAACGTTACATACTGCTTTTTGTGGTATTATTCAAACTACTCCTATCTGACTTACAAAGTGGAACAATCCACAACTGGACCGTGCCTTCTAATGAGTATCTTGTACAACATTCATTGCCTCTAGTGTTAGTAAACGTACTTGGCAGTAAACACAAGGCGCTGCAGTTCACAAGTTGCTGGGGAATTTCTCTGCCCATACTCTATCATTATGAAAACCCCTGTGGGTCAGTGTGGCAGAAGACAAGTTTTTTATCAGTTAGCAGAAAACCACCCTCACAGCTTATTCCCAAAAGCTAATCCAGATTTTTCAATGCACAAGAGATGTCTGTGTTGGGGAAACTACCATCTGATAAATTGCCATTGGTAAGAGCAAATATAGATATGGTGAGTGCAACTTTCCAAGCTGAATGACAGCAACCAAGAGGAAAAAGTAACTCGGCCCTCAAAAATGTGACTAGATTTTGCTTTCCTCATTAAGTGTAGCACAGCTCCCAGTCATGACAGATCTCCTGTTGGTTCCTTCAGAAGGTCTTGTTCCTGCTTCTCAGCAATGGTCTAACTTTGTCCCCGGGTTTAACTCTGCTTTCCTGAGCTGCCTGCCCTTCTCCCAGGCATTTCTCTGCCCATCTGGAAAATGTTGGCATGCAAATCTGGTGCCTCTGGGGGAGGAGCTGCTGTTTTGCAGCTTCTGTAGAACCTTAAAATCTTCCTTTGATTCTTCAGAAGAAATGAAATGTAGATTGTTTCCTTGAAAAACAGGATCCACTGCTTTGGAAACAGCCCTTCATTCATAAGTTCCTTTAAAGCTAAGGACATCAGACACCTAACAGGGTTAATCACACAAACCAAGGGCAAGTCTCAACCTGAAGGCAGTTCTGGGTCTTCTTGTGCATCTGCATTAAGTGATGCAGAGTAATTCCTGCCTAAGCACTGTTTCCACACAGCTTTATTAGTCCCTGTAAAGCTATTCTGGATTGCTGCATCCCTGCAGAAGTGCAAAATCACGTGCTCAGCAATCACAGCAGATACCCCATGTTCTGCTCTTCACATTCTGGGATTCTTCTCACTGTACACCACGGGATGACAATTATCTGGGCTCTACTCCATTTCACGTTATTGCCTTCTTTTTCATGTTATCCCTGTTCCTCTTACTGCAGCTATTTTAACAGCAATATAAAGGAAAATCAAGAAATTATGTCCTGGTACTGTTATTCTTAGAGCACACACATCTTCCCTTCTCCAGCACCTCTAAAAGTCAAGCAGCAGAGGCATCTTTGGCAGAAAAATCCAGCACAAAATAATGCACAACAGCTTCTTTGCAGTCAGGTTATCAGCACAGACAGGTGGATGGAACATCACTGGAGTCTTGGGACAATAAGCAGTGGAAGCAGAAATGCAAGAGAGCCAAGGTTTATTACTTAAACCCCTGCCTGACATACCCTTCTGTGGAAAAGCATCTACACTTGGCCATCCAGCAGTTTACTAGCACCACGCAGTCTGTCCTTCTGGTGGTCCCACCCTTATGCTAACTTTCTGATTTATTTATTGCACTAGCGGAGCAAAACAAAAGGCAAAGCTTACCCTGATTTTTGCAGAGCAGCAATATGGTGACAAGATTACACAGACTGGCCTTTATTAATTTCAAAATAAATACCAGATCTTCAAAATCAACTGAGAAATTAACTAACAAAAGCTACAGCAAAAGCAGCTGGAACATCCAGAGTTTATTTTCAAGACCACTATTTGGAAAAGCTGCAGAGAGAGAGAATTTGGAAAGGATTCAATAATCTGAAAAGAAGCCTACAGCCTGGAAGGTAACAGAAATGAACGCAAAGTGGCAGCAAACAACCGTCAGGAGCGACTGCTGTCACCCACAGCTGGAGTTCCCCACACACTGTTCCAACTGCAGGACCACCATTTTTGTGAAGAAACTGGATTCCAAGATTATTATGGTCAATCCCTTAAACTGCATGAACAAGTTGCAAGCAACTTTTCAACTTGCCTGATGATTTTGTGGTCCTGTTGCTGATGAGGACAGGATACATTTCCCTGGTTCTCATTCTACTGGTTCTTTCTGATACACTTGGTCAATCCAGGAGCAATATGTCGATCTGGTCCATTCCCCACATTCACAGTATTCATTTCCCTGGTTCCCCTGCAGTTGCTATGGACAATTATCCCTCATTCAAAGAAAATTCTTAATATGCACTCATCGCCCCGTACCATTATCAATCCTTTATTGAGGCACTTTGCCATTCAGTACTGAGTACTTGAGTTCCTCCTGTTCCTGGTGGCACCCATTTTTCAGCATCAATTTTACATGGCCTAGGCTGTGCAAAACAGATGAGCTGGGAGATCAATTCTTATTTATATGCCCCTCCACTGATACATCAAGACCTACAAAGGTCTTGCATAAAGGATTTTTTTTCCACATAGGCATTCAATAAAGACTCAAACCCCAGCACTACTGACTCCTTGTCAAAAATATGAGAGGAATCATAGAGAAATAAAGGCAGCATTCAAAGCAAGCCCCACACAAGTTCTGGACACTTTGGTTTCAGAGGCATTTCCAGTTCCAGTCTCAAAGGTTAGCTATTACACTGGCATGTTACTACCCTGCTCTACCAGTCACTCCTGCAAATGGTGCTCCACCCAAAAAATCCATTCCAGTTAAATGCTCCGTGTAAGTTGTTGCTTTATTTCATGTTGGGGTCCTTGCAGCCATCCTCCCCCCTCAGCATTACTGCTGTGGCAACAAAAGCCCTATAAACCAGGGCCAAGTACTCCCACACATGCACTACCCTGTTCACAGAAGCATGTCTCCCTTCCCGAGACTGAAACCTGCTGTCCCAAAGTAACTAAAACGGCGCTGGCAAACACCTAAGGATGCTACTGCTTTTTCTCTTCCCTGTCATTTCACCCTCCCTCCTGTGGCTCCCAGAAGCTACAGAAGTCCTCCTGCTTGGGCGCAGATTTTGGCAAACTCTTTAACATAAAGAGGGATACACAATGTACCGTGCTGGTTATATACATAGACACACACACAGGTGAAAACAGGCCAGCAATATCGGGGTAGGTACCTCAGCACTCTGCAGCTGACTTCCACATGCACATTGTTTTCCTGTCTTGTTCTTTTAGATACCTGGGAACTGCTCAGTGAACTACTCTGGACAATAGAAAAAAACAATGCCTTTCTTGGTGCAGACACAGTTTGGAGTGCCAAACAAAGAGGACATACAGGGATGGAGGAAATCACAGATGCATTTTAAAGATGTTCTATAATCCAGCCTAGGATTTTTGCCCCAAACACACTGTTAAGTTGGACAAGCACAAAGGTACCCAGTTAAATCTCTGCTCTCCCCATGCCACATTTTCCCACTTAAAGGGAATGATGAGACAACAGATATTGGTGGGCTACATGATCTGGTGCTGCATATCATGCCAGCCAGTTATGTACCTGGCCTTAACCTGCAAAAAACACTTCCATTGGGGCTAAAATGCGAATTCAGTGAAGTGATCAGAGAGGTAAAGGATGAAACAATTTGCTACATGTATTTATTAGCTTCTTCCATTTCCACACTGCCAAATCAAATGCTTGGTGAGGGTGATTTACTTGTTAGTATGTAAAACTGTATACACTGGGATGGTTTTTTTTTGTTGTTAGAGATTTACTGAAACTTTCACCGATACCAATGAACCAACAACAATTTCCCTTTGGCAATGCACACTGAAATACTACTTGCAACTGTAGTGGCATAATCCAAGCTGAAGTTCCTCCCTCCTTGTTGGATCTTCCCTCCCCCCAGGTAAAATCCTGAGAACAACCCACAGCAGACATGACGAGACATATACAGTGCATTGCTGAAACTCTGAATCACAGCCTTGTCACTGAATCTACACCTATATTGCATTAAGAAGGTCTCATGTTTAAAGAAAAACAAACAAAAAGGATAAAACTACATGTTTCTCAAAGGTTAGAGCATTTTTCCTCCCATATCTACTAAGCAAAAAAATCCCATAAGTTCTCTGTACTTCAGTTCTGAAAACAGAAGATACAGCTTTTTACTTGTGATAGTGCAACCAGGATAACAAAACAAAACAGTAATTTCAAACTGTACTCTGAAAGTATTTTCCTACTGTAACTCTATTGTACAGACAAGTAACACTTCCAAATACACGCCAAGACAACCCCTTAGCTACACTCGTGCAGGTAATTCCATTGACTTTAACAGACAGGTATCATGTGTGATGAGTAAAAAAGCAGGAACTGAGGGAATGAGGTAATTACAAATACATACAGCTGGCTAGAAACATTTTGAATATAATTAAGCTTTGAGACATTATGCCAGCCAAGATGTTAATAACCATGAAAAAAACCCCTATGGGTGATTTTCATACTTATCAAAATAAGGAACTGTTGAGAACCATTAACAACGTGGGTAAATGCTGTCTAAGCTTCCCACACTCAACTCTGCCAATAAGCTTTAATTTTCAACTGCAACAGTCCTGCTATTCCAGTCTGGAGCTCCTCCAGAGCAGAGATATTTAATCGCATTATACTGTGAACTTGCTCGGCCACACATGAAACATAAAAAGATCAATATGTAATGCCATCACCATTTTTTATCTGTTAGGCTTGCCTGGACCAATATTTTCAACAGCTTCAGATGAAGCCACATTAAACCTTAGCATAAAGGACATTTCTAAAGCAGAATTTAATGTATTTATAAACAAGTGTAGAGTAAGAGCGTAAGAGGAGGCTTGAGAAGCCGTAGCATAAAAATATTTGCTATGAACAGTGGAAGACCCAGTGCTGGTGAAAAAGTAGAAACTGTTTTTATTGCTTACTCTTGAAACATTTCAGAGACTAACAAAGGATTGAAGAAGAAACCTGGAGACAAACATCTGTCACCACACTGCTGTAAGAGCTCATCTGCATCTCTTGAAGGTTGCTGGTATGTGTAATTAAAAGTAACACATCTTCTGTTAAATGACAGCATCTCTTAAGAGGAGATGTATGAACAGTTTGTTGTCTTATTTATGTAAATAAATTAGAAAGACTCCTGCAAGTGTTATCTCATTGAGACACTGGCTATTCCAAGTACTTATCGCGAATGAATCCACAAACTTTAATCTATTTATCCAACCAGTCTGTATAAAGAGGGGTTCACTGACCTTCAAAGTCCACGTCCCCTACTAGTTTGGTCTTTCCTGTAAGAGGGTCATGGATATGGTTGATGCCTACATCAATCACAGCTGCACCTTCTTTGACCATATCAGCTGTAATCAACTTTGGGATACCTGGAATCATCAAGATGAATTTGATTAACATGGCCAGGAAGCTTTAGGTCATCAGTTTAAATTATATCAAGGGCTGTGCATGCTTGTGTATCTGTGCACAAAAAAGGTTATACATTTACTTGAACGTTTCTTGATATATCACACACAAAACAACAATCCCTCAGTTTCACACACTTTGTACTTATGAGAATAAAAGGTGATATTTCTTCATTTCTACTAAACATTTTCAGCTAAGCCTGCAGTCACAAATAATAATCGACATGATCTCAATGAAGCAGTTAATTAATGGTTTGTGGCAGTAAGTCCCTTTCATAGCATTTCCAAAGAAAAGCTGGGCCATAAAGATGCTCTGTGAGCCACAAAAAGTCTTCACTATAATAATGACAGAGGCCTGCTTATCCAAAGTGTTGCCAACTGCTGAAGCAAGCCCTGTATGTTACTTCCTTGGCTTTTTCTTTAATCTTTGCTTTTTGTAGTATCTGTATTGGATTTACGTTACACTTCTCCAATTTCTCATATACTTGTTACCTGCACAACATTTCAACCAGTCACTTAAATAATGATCATGAACTACAAGAGAACACACTACTACAAAAACCAAAATAAATGTCAGCATGAGAAGAGTCTCATCTACCCTGACATCTTATTTTTGATTCCCATCATCTAGAAACAACAGACAGGTGTCCTGGGTTCAGCTGTAGCAGTTACTTTTCTCATTCCTAGTAGCTGGTGCAGTGCTGTGTTTTCAACTTCAGTCTAAGAACAATGCTGATAACATGCCAATGTTTTTAGCTGTTGCTAAGTAATGCTTACTCTGAACAAGGACTTTTCAGTTTCATGCTCTGCCAGTGAGGAGGGGCACAGGAAGCCAGGAGGAAGCAGAGACAGGACACCTGACCCAAACTGGCCAAAGGGCTATTCCACACCACAGCATGCCATGCTCCGTATATAAACTGGGGGGAGTTACCCGGAAGGCCCAGATCGCTGCTTGGGTCGGGCTGGGTATTGGTTGGCAAGTGGTGAGCAACTGTATTGTGCATCACTGGTGTTTATGGTTTTCTTTTCCTTTTCTCCTTTCAGTGTTGTATTCTCTTCCCTTGATATTTCCCTTATCATTATTATTGGTGATAGCAGCAGTGGTTTTGTATTATACTTCAGTTACTGGACTGTTCTTATCTCAACCCATGGGATTTACATTCTTTCAGTTCTCCTCCCCATCCCTCTGGGAGCAGGGGGAGAAGAAGCGGGGAGTGAGCGAGCAGCTGCGTGGTTCTGAGTTACCGGCTGGGCTTAAACCACGACAACAGGCAACAGGAAAAAATAAAATAGCTATTTCAGATTTACCCAAAATAAACAGTATCAGCTCAATATGTAGGAGAGAAGCAACTGCCTTCCAAGCAAAAATTTATCCACCTGATCTTCTCATAAGCAAGAAAGAAAAATACAGCCTGGCCTCAGCACTACACCCCTTCTTCACCTCTCAGGGGATATCAATTACACACAAAATCTGACCTATGTCCTACCAAACAGGGTGGCAAAACACCATTTTGAAAGGCAGTAGTCCTGGACAACAAATGCCTTCCACATTGTGAAGAACACTGCTGCACTGGATTTCAAACTGCAGGCAGCACCACACATTTACTTTGCGGAGATCGATCTCATCCAGCTTCCTAGAGGTAAGACTTCCATGGCATGCCAACAGCTCCTCTTGATGCACAGAAAAGACCTCCCTTTCAAGAACAGTAGTTCAGTAGGCTTCCTCTTGGCAGGGAGCAATTTTAACTACAGAAAAGGCTATCTTAAAGCAATGCTAGTACATTTGTTGTATCAACAGCAGCATCGTGTGACCACACACCTTACAGTTTCTGCCTGGACAGCCACAACAAATGAAACCTCTCCTGGAACATTTAGGCAAAGCAGCATCTGAGACCAAAATCACTGCATGGTATCAGAGAGCCAATAATGTCAGCTCCTTACACATCACCTGCATTAGCCTATCGTACCTTAATTGCAACAGTGGTACTCTTTCCTCTGTATTCACTTTAAATAATCTCCTGAATTTCCTTCCTACCATGCAACCTCCAACTTGAAGTGATGGGAAGCTCCAACCTTGAAATTACAAATCACTTTGCTTCCTGAGAAGTTCCATCAGTTCTATGTTTCGTGAGGAATGTTCATCCTGGTAATAGGGTATCTCCAAAGGGGGAATCTAAGCTCCCCTCTCTCCACCAAAGCAGCTTTCTCTCAGGTGGAGAGAAAAAACGTAAAACAGAGCAAATCCATCTGATTTGGAGGCAAGCACTGGTGTACGAGAGCTTTGGCTTCATGTGAAGTGCTGGATGACAGCCAGTTAGTCATTTAGATACAGGCAATACAAGAACCTTCTCTGCTCTCAATTTCTCACTCCCCCACAGGACACAAGCTTGAAACTCTGCTTCTAAAGTTGGGCAAGCCAAGACCTCAAATTCTTTCCTATGCCACCTGATAATATCTGGCTACGTCTACTTCATCACACTCTTATGCAATCCATTGCAAACTGGCTGGTAATTGGATAATGCCTCAGCCTTATGGGGGTAAATGATCGAAGCGTGATAGGGATGGAAGCACATTAACAGCTGCACAGTTACACCCTTTGTAAAATGGTTTGATAATAGGCCAAATACTTAATAGCAACAAATGAACTAACCTCCAAACCAAATGAGCAGATCTATTTATTTAAGCCTACTTTACATACCAAGTAGTTAGAGATAAGCGTTACAGCAGCTATTCCTAAAATGCACTGACTGAAGAATGTGGGAAAATGTTTCATTGGTACCTTCTGTAGGAAATTATCAATCACATTTTAATCAGAAGAGAAACAAAGCTGGGAAGGAATAATCTACATGGATAGTTGCAATCAAAGCAAGCAGAAGTGGAGTCCTGGTTTTCCTGGGGGCATATGAGAGAAAACACATGAAGACGGATATTCTCAAACTCCAGAGTAATAACAGAAGCCCCCGACTTGAAGTGTTATGACAGCCGTGAAATGCAAGTGAACAGAAAACTACTCAGAGAGAGTACAACATCAGAATGAAGAGACTCCCGGCAACAAGTCACCAACCAGGAGCCAGAGTGCAGATGGCTCTTCTGAAATTCTTCCATGGGATGAATAGAAAAAGAATAGGCATCTTGCACTTACATGCAGACACACATAAAAGGCTGTTTTCCATGTGCATACCTTGCACAGTGGCCTATGACAGCAGCTGTTCCTATCTGGCAGGGTACAAGTTAGCTTCTTTGCAACACTCACTGAACAGGTCACACATTTCCGGGCAATGTGTGATCCTGCAGCTATGACGTGCACAGTTCCCAAGTAACAAGAGGAACCCTGGAGGGATTCCAGCTTTCTAAAGCATAATCTTCTCCAGCACATCCACTGGGGCAGGGCTGCATACTGTTTGCACAATCCAGCTGTACGTTTTTGCATCATTCCAAGTATATCTCAGGTTGTGTAATGAGTGTTGTATCATGCTCCTGTTACAAGTGACACAAGGAAAATACAAAACACACACGCAGTACTGAACCCTTTAACTGCAAACACAACTGATGGCAAACTGTTCAGCGTAAAAATCAGAAGTGATGATTAAATTGGAAGCAGTGAATTTGGATGAACAGTTACTAGTTTATTTCCAGTCAGCACATGCATTATCATCATCATTCCTTCACAGTGCATGAACTCTGATCAGGCCCACAGTTGGGTAATCCCATGTGGGACCAACTGAGCTGTCTCTTGTTCCTGACCTGGCATGAGAAAGAGATAGTACAGGTAAGCCCTGAAGCAAAGGGCATCTCAATGCAACAGGAAGTGCTGAGCTTTAGACAGGTACCTATCTGTTCTCATCTAGAAACTAAGTAGGCAAGACTTTGGTCTTGAAGATGAAGAAAGAGGAAGGGAGGAGAAAACAGGAAAGATGCAATCCTCTTGTAGTTCTCCAAACTAGTATGAGTCAAGGAGGGTATCCTGAGTTCCGAGAGGAGACAGAATTTTACTGACGTTTTTATTAAGTTGCATTGTTAGGGTTTGTTTTCTTTTAAGTTAATTTATATGTCTACTTAGAATGTCCATAAACAAAAAACAGGTTGCTCAGAAACAATTCTGCTTGCTTCTTTATTCCAGACTAGTCAAACTAAGTGTTTCATCCTACATTGCTTTGAGAATAAAGACACTGATCTTTTGGACCCCTTCCTCCAACCAATTACCATTCTCTTCCCCTTCACATGATAATTGTAAAAGAAAAAAAAAAATTTAGCCATTAATAACTTAGGTTACCAAAACTACCAGATAATTTGGCAAGGTTGCCTTTAATCCTAACAGTGAGGGAATGCTACCATTGTTTTATGAATGCAGCCTCCAGCTGATTTCAAGAAACCCTCCTGTAAAAATTTCAATGACTCATGATTTTTGCACAGCACAGAGAATGTTTTAATTTACATAATTATACCTGTATAAACTATGCACTGACTGGTTCCCAATCTTGAGTTCACTCTAAAGTCTCCCTAAGGGAAAGGTGTCACATGTGACCAGAAACAGTTTATGAGTCTGCAAATGTGAAGGGCAAGAACAAAGAGCCAAATCATTTGCCCTTCTTACAAGAAATCCTTCTTACTGCACACCCTCAACAAGCGTAAGCACCTACTGCTTGGTAAAACATGAAACAGCCAGCAGTGCCACCAACACAGACACCAAAGTCTACCTTTTAGGTTTTAAACTTTGCAATTGGAGTATTAACAGCAACTAGTATTACCTGCAGCTACAATTACAATGTCGGCAAGTTGTGTATGGATCTTGAGCTGCTCTTTTGGTGTGTATCTGTGAGTGATGGTCACTGTAGCATCACCTGAAATGTAACAGGTTACCAATTAATTGTCACATATAAAATGCTTGTATAGCATTTACTTGGGGACATTAACAACAGTACAGATGATCATCAGATTTGTCTTGGGATGCATCATTTACGTCAGCATAGGCATGACGCTTACAACACTTGTTCACACATGAAAAACATATTTATACTTAACAATTCTCACAGGATGAATTCATTTATACATCATGAACTAACTTTGTCCTTCTTCAGCTTCATTACATTTAGTGGAATCACACAGAGCAAACCCAGCATGGAATTCAGTGTCTACCTTATTAGGCACACTTTGTACAGCGTGCCATAAGACTCAGCTGTTTGTCACCAACTAAAGCTTCAAGTATAAGCTCACCAAGTTTGGATCTCTGTCCTCAACTGCATTTGTCATCCATCTGTCCTGAAGAGCCCTAGATGCTTCCCTTGATGTTTGTTGTGTAGACCAGAAGGAAGATCACAGTCTTCCCCGTACTTGTGACCCAACTTCATAACAGCGTTTCCCTGGAGTCAAAGTTTAGTCTTTGACCCTACCATCTCTTGCATGTCCTGATAAAACACACCCAGCTGAACCCTTACGTCATGCCAGAGTATGAAGCGTTTGACATTATCATATACAAAAGTATGCATCATTTTGGTCAAACTCCAAAGATCTGGGGCCTGCTCCTGCACATATCCACATTTCTTGGCAAGAAACTACAAATAAACCCTCCTTAGTAAGAGATGAAAAACCTTCTGCTGTTTGATGAAAATACTGAGGAGAAATAACAACACACAAACCAGACTGTCATGGGGATAGCGACTGAAGACTGTTATTGCATCCAACAGCCACCATGGTGATCTCTTAGGGACTGCCCAAGAAAACAGCAAAGGTAACAGCTATCAACAGACTCCTCCCAACACTCTCCCTGTCAACTATTTATACTGCTTCGTGTTCAGGTATTACATCCCCCCATCTCCACCTTCCACTCGCCAAAGACTCCTAAGACACATGATGAATCATTACGCTAAAAGTTTTCACTATTTATCTCAGGTGTTGCCATCATATCTGCTTCCTCTAGAATGTGTCTGACTGATTTAATCTGTGCCTCTTATGTCATTAGCTCTCCTTCTCAAGCATCTCATCTTCAACCTGTCTGTGCTCTGACTTCTCTGCTTTTCCCCCTCATCTTTGATCCCTCCTCTCCTCCAGTCTCTGTAATGCATACCTCTTCCTTGAAGAAAAGAAGATCAAGGCGTTTTCAAATCATGACAATAGAAAAGTACAGATGTGCATAAACACAAAATCACAAATTGTTACTTCTAGAAAATATACACGTAATGAGATTCTTTTGACCTCTTCCCCTGTACTCAACAGAAAAGCTGAGAAAAACTAATGGATAAAATCCAAAGTTACAGTCAGTCACACCTCTGAGAAACAAAATCAGTGGTATTTTCCCCATCAAGATTCCAGTGAAGAATGTGTAGGTAGGTAGCTCCTGAAACAAAGTAACTGCTCTTACCACCAAAAATTAAAAGAGGAAAAAAAAAAACCCAACAAGGGGGGGAAGCCCTTACCTTCAGAATAGCAGTCCAGAAGCTTACAGACACCTCAGAAAGGGTAGGTTATTTATTTGTGCTCACACCAAAACAGAAAATAAACAACTACTTCACACAGCTATTTCCACTATAAGAAGAGGAATATATTTAGCCATTAAGATTCTGCATGATACTGCTGAGTTAATTCACGAGTTTATAAAATCGAAAGAGCCCCTTGACCTGCCTCCACCAAACACCGTTTGTTTTCTCATCTGACCAGATACCGCCATCTGCAGGACATGACGGATTCTACATACAACAAATCACTGATACAGACAGACCGCAGCTTCTCAGTTTTGTTCATAATCTGAACAAAAACAATAACTAAAACCTGCAAAGAGAAAGAAAATAAACAAAATAATAATAAAGCAAAATAGCAAATAAGATAACTGCAGAAAACCAACCAGATCTTCAAGGACAGAGCAATCTGTGAATCAGGAGTGAAGACTATACTAGTCTACACCAACCACGAAAGTTTATCACCATGTACACCACAAATACATACTTAATGCTAATTTACTGTGAACGAAGCACAAAAATTGTTTTGTTTTCTCATTGGCAGGTGATTTATGCTGTGTACTATCACTCTGCAGGTTGGAAAAAAGAAAAACTACCTTAAAAATAAATTCATGTCTTTAGAATAAGCAAAGATAACTTCAATGAATTAACTCTATGCTTAGCTTCCAGTGCCAGTAAGGGAAGATCCAAATCTTTTCCCGTCCCTGCATAGAATACTTGACAACAAAGTTAATTGATGGACTGACCCTCCAAACCAAATTGTACTACTAGTAGGCAGTCAAATAAGAACTACAAACCAGTATACAAGTGAAAAAAACTGAGCCACAGATCCAACTATCTCAAAAGATGAAAGCTATAAATCAGTTACAGCTAAAAGCCACCCATGCAACTACTATGGGTTTTGTAACAAACTGCTAAGGAATCACAGGTCACTAAGTCTCCCCATCTCCAGCTTAGAAACATGCAAATAGTTGGCAACATAACTCCATGTTGTATAAAACCTCCTTCAAACACCAACCCACACTGCCTGTAATACACACAAGCCAATATTAGCAACAAATGGCAAAAATGCTACTCATTTTCATGGGAATGGGGATGAGACCAGAAGTATGCCCTGACGATAATTACAATTCAAACACTAAGAGAAGTTTCAAATAGCAACTTTCCCACAGAGCCTGAATGGAAAAAACAACTCTATGATTAGTAAGAAGCTTTTCGTGTTTTATTATATTAATAACAGATTTCACTGCACTCCTATTAAATATGCCTGGGATTAAGCATTCATGTTTACCTCATTTGTGCACACCACCATGGCAGTTTCTAACATCAAAATGAAATTGCAAAAGAACAGTATTCTATTCAAATTCTATTTGTTTTTCTTTCTGCAGCACAATTACAGTGGCACATGTATGCTTCTTTAATTAGAATTACTTAAAAATATTTCCATCACAATGCCCAATTTCCAGGGGGATATAAAGTGCACTGCACAAAAATCCCTCAGGTCAACATCTAGTATCATAGAGCTCACACAGCAAAGTCACTTTGTTGGTCATTTGGGTATTTTCATAATCACCACCTAACGAACATAGCACAACACAGGAATTGTGTTGTATTTGTCTATGTATATGTGTATATACGTGTGTGTGACAACTTGCGTATGAGAACCTTGAAATTAATATTACTATGCCCAAGGATAAGGCATGCAGGTGTATTAGTTTATATAAACATGACATGAACCTCTGTAGCTCAATAAGGCCATGCGGCCAGGTATTATCCTCAACGTTCAGCACCAACCGTGGTTAAACAGTAGCTGTTTCCCATGGAGTACAAAACCATGATGTAATACCAGAAAACGTCAAGTCTAGAAACGGCTCTTCCAAGAAGATGTCAGGAAACACATAAGCAAATTTAATTCCTTGCTGTAGTTGCAAATATTGCACAAGATACGAAAGCTTCCTCTTTTTGCCCAAATCCTCTGGTTAGCTTGATTTTCATAATTTCACGAATGGAAGCGTTAAAACAACACTCATGGATTTACCTCCAGGCCTTTCGTGCTCTCCATCAGTATGCAAAAGCATTGAAATAGGCATTCCAACATTCTTAGATCTTCCAGCTACTACAACATTTTTCCCAAATGTCTGTATTCCTTATAGGAAAAAAGAAGGGGAAAAAAAATTATATTCTGCTATTTTGATATACCTAAACCCTTCATTCTCAGTCGCCAAGATAACATTATGTGCTCTTGTAGACTGCTGACAACTGTATGACTTGAAAATCTCCAAGGCTGAATTTGAGGGATGAATCCACAAAACAACTTTCAGCTTTCACCTTAGAGAAACAGAGCTGGCGACTCAATCAGGTTATCTGAATCACCCTTTGGAGCAACTTTGTTTCTCTTCTCTGACCACAAAGGGAAATGGAAACACTTACATCTGCCAATAAGAACATGTATATTATACTTATGAAATGATAACTGTTAAATACATAGGCATTTTTTTCCCTTTCTAATACTGAATTAAATGCTTCCACTTTTGTTCTTGTTTCTTCCCCTTCCCCCAGAACTTAGGCATTCAAATCAGGACATTAGGAATAGCACAGGAAGTTCCTTACAACATCTGCTGCCTCTTTTCATGCTGAGGGAGGTTAAAAAGGCATCTGAAGGGATGTTAGACAGGTCCTGCCAGAGGATGTGAAGGATTGGTCCATCAGATCAGCATGGAAAGTCCACGAGGCCTTTAGTGACATGGTTTAGTGGTAGACTTGGCAGTGCTGGGCAATGGTTGGACTTAATGATCTTAAAGGCCTTTTCCAACCTGGTTGATTCTATGATTCTATGATTATAGACTGCAAAAAATAACTTGTAGTGTTTCGCAAAGTACTGCAGGCAGACTACTGCCTACACTTAACTAATAGTTATGCTACTGGCAAAAGATCTCATCTATTTGGAACCTCCTTATTATTTGGATTAATGCTCTAAACTTTTGTTCTTCCATCTGCCCAGTGTCTCTAGACTACCTACACCTTGTAACTCACACCTGACTCAATCCTTCGTTCTTTTTCCAAGATAAAATGTTTCAATACAGTTCAGTTCCTTACCTGTCCGTTTGATTATCTCCCAAACAGCAGCAGCAGTGGCAGGTATTACAGAAGGCTGATCAAGACACAGGCGTCCAATGTTCATAACGTGAAATCCATCCACATCCTTTTCAGGAGCGATAGCGTTACAAACAGCTCTCTCCTCGATGTGGTCTAGGAAACACAATTTTTCACATTAAAATTCTTTCACTTGTCAGGTGACATCAATACTACCTGAATCATTACACAGAGAAACACAATTTGTTTCTAGCTAGGTAATAATTATTACTATTCATTATAAATAAACTACAGTCCTCCCTCTAAAGGCAGTAGTTACAATTTCACCTTTTGAAGTCATCTACTGAAAATTAAATGCTTCAGTTTGACACTGCTAGTACAACAGATTCAGTCAAAATACGAGAAGGTTGATAGTCAGCTGAAAATGACCACTTAGTAACTATGAAAATAAATGTTCAAGCAAGACACTTCAGAGTTGCTCCTGCATTCCGAAAGTGTTACTTCTCAAGTGGCTCAAAAGAAATAATCAAAAGAGAAAAGTTACTGTGCCTGTAACCTGTCCCTAAGTTCACCAAAGATAACCTAAGCTGAAATAACTTTGCAGGTCTGCCTTTCATTTCCCCTTTTGCAAAAATATAAGTGGTTTTACTAATCTCCTAATCAGCAAAACCAAAATGTATTCTAATTCCCTTGATAACTATCAGAAAACAGAACTGTTTGATACCAATGAGTTCAAAACACTAAGTACGCCTTATATGACAATACCTGCACATAATTTACTACTCACATCTAGTTGCAAGTAACATTTTTCATGTGCATTCATCATGTGTTACTGATATGGAATAGGTCTGCAGATGCTTAAAGCTTACACTGCATAAACACAGGAACTCATAAAGAGAAAGAAAAAGCATTACCAAGTCCTGCTTCTGCAAAGTTACAAACCTCATACGTACATAAAGACACTCCAGAGGAGCAGCTCTATAAAACATACTCATAAGTGACCCAGAAAGCAAACCCTAGAGTTAAACCAGACTGTTAAGATATACAATTCTGTTCTCCATTTTCAGATGGAAGGAAGATTCCTTCTGATTCCCAAGAAGAAAGATCTGTGAAATTCAGATGCTAAGTACATGGATGAAAGAGTCTTACAGGTCAGACTAGCCTCATTCAGATCGAAGGCGACTTGTTTTCATGTCATTTTGGGAAATAAATAAATAAATAAATAAATAAATGAGGAAAGAAATTTGAAGTCATCTATTAAACAGTTTTTGCAACAGAAAATTTGTTAACCTTAGGGAAGTCAGTTGTTCATCAAACAAAAACTTCACTGCTCGGACAAACACTTCCTGACTGCTGTCTTCAGCTTGCCAGATACAGACAGATCAGAGATACATTCATGTGTAAGGGAATGAAATCATGCTTTACGGGGAGAAGAGAGGATATGGACATCTTTTTCTCCCCATCACAGACACTTCTACAACACCACCTGGAGAGAGCCACCCACAAACAAGCAAACCAACTCAATCCCAACTGTATACACAGTTACTATGTTACTCAATGAGAACATCTTATTTGCCTCAAGAAATTTATTTTCCTGATTTGTTCCCACCTGACTGCAGGTAGCCTCATTTATTCCCAGAGGAACAAGACTATTTCTGAAGGATGTTATCGTCAGTCTCACAGAACATGCTTAGCCTCCTCCTCTCAACTGACAGTCAAACTCTTTTGCTACCATTCCGAGCTACTCTGCATGCCAAGTTCCTCTCTGCACTCACCCTCTCACTTTTAACCAAACTTGCAAGACTACACCAGGCATCTCTTGCCCAGCTCCTCTGACATGCACAGAGAGAAACTTACTTACACAGCAAATAACACGTGTCTCTACTGTTGACACACAAAAAATAAAGACTGAGTTTGGAACAGGAAGAGTGATGAAAATAAAAACACAGCACAAAAAGAATCAGAAAACCTACTATGAGGGTCAAGAAATGCAGACACAGAGCAAGGAGAAAGCTGCTCAGCAGCAGCAACAAGCTCCCCATAAATAATTTTGAGCAGCTCTACTGTGACACTGCTATGACTTCAGCAGTCAGTTCCAAAGCAGCCGTGCTTCAGCTGGCAGTTATGCACAGCAGAGGGACATCAGGTCCCCTGCCTCATACCTCCATGCTGCTTACAACTAAAAAATGTTGAGTTTTCCATCTTCAATCTCAACTAAGTATCTAACATTCCATAGCCATCTTCCAGGCAATTAAAAAAGATACAGGAAACTTTCCACAAAATCATTACCACATCAGAAGTAACACACTCTGAAGGTGCACAGAAAGGAAGTTTTCCTCAGGCAAAGATGACAATCCTCAAAGTTAAGTTGCTCCAGCTCACAACAGTGGAAGAGAACAAAGCTATTTTCTGCTTCTGTTTTTATCCTCATGTTGACCAAAAGGCACACCTGTGTGTGGTTTACTGCAAAAACCCCAAACCCTACACAACCACCTCAATTCTGGAATAAGCAGCCTCTACTGATCAAGTTATCATAACTTGAAGGCTTTGTCTCCTTCCATTACAATGCAAAGTAGAAGATTTTTGGAAAATGAGCTAAGTTAGCTTTCTGCCCTTTTGCTTATGAAGTTCCTTTGGGAGTGGAAAAAAAAATAATCTAATGATAAGAGTTATAGTTGACATCTATTCTGGAAAGAACTTCCTGAACATTTGCTGTTCATGGGAACTTGCATATTTAAGCTTCCTCTAAAGACAATGCAATACTGAAGAAGTCCTGCTATTGATTAAATTACTCTAAAGTTTTTACTGAGGCAGGCAACAGCCAGGCCCCAAACTAGCAAGTTTCATATGTTAAAGGAAGGCTAGTTAGTCTTTATGTAGTTAACAGGACAGATATAATGTTCTCACGAGGGATCCTCAACCACTTACTTCAGGGCTTAAACACTGGACTAGCATCAGACATTTGAATTACACAACTAGAATTATCCTCAGGGTTGGGTTTTTTTTTTTTTCTTTTTCAATATGCACAGGTTTAAAATCACAAAGTTTCAAGACTTAAGTCTGTTTTTGAACCACGTATCAACAAAGGCAGGCAGCTTAAGAGCAGACTGGATGAGCCCATTACCTTCGCTGTCCTTCAGACAGAAGGATTTCCATCTGTAGGCTGGCAATGCTCCATCTATGGCATGAGTTCTTACTAGTGAAATGAAAATTGCTCCATTACCTATTTCCCCTAATCTGTTCTTAGTGGGAGAGATGTTTGTTCCAAGTAAACCAACCACATTCCATTAGCTCCCAGAGTTCCTCTCTTGGTGGCCAAGATTCCACAGGTCTCCTTAACTTGTGTTATACTTCCACCTTGTGGCCAACTTACTCCAACAAGTGGCCGATTTCAGTTCACTTTCATATAATAGGAAATGCCAAACTTCCTCACAAATGCTGGTGTTTATTACAAATACAAACCAAGCATCTCTTCCCCTATAACACTCAGCACCTGGCCTCATTTCTGCTGACATGAAATAAAGGAAGCGAGAATTGCCTGAAGGTGAAGATCAATACTGGGAGTAAGAGTGGAAATGAAGAGCTCACCTCAAAACAAAGCTTCAACTTCATTATTATCAGAGATACTGAAAAACAGTAGCCCCTGGAATCCCAGCTACTGCTAGAAATCATGTGTATACATGCCAAAAAGCCAGCTCCTGCCTCTTATGGAACATGATATAAACGTACAATCAAAGACAACACTTAGAAACACAGAGACTGGGCAACCCAACATGCCAGTCAATTTATCACCATGACTCCAGTTATTTGGGTTCCTCTCCACCAGGAAGCATGCAGTGGTTTTACCAGTTTGACTTACATAGATTTAGATGAAAAGTTTCATCACTGCCAAAATCCCATTTTGCCAGCTACTGGCAAGAGATATTTTAGAGAGATTTTATTACAAATTAGGAGAAGTGAAATAAAAACCAAGAATATACTAGAGGCTTTTAGGACCTTAGCACAAAGCTCACCTGGAACATTAGGGACAGCATAGAAAACTTGATCAGATATTTAAGGCAAGACCTGGAATCACTGCAAGACAGTATAACTTGGCATGATATAGGGGAGGAAAATATGGCAAATGTCTTGGAGTTCAGGGATAAACAGTGCAACATGTTAAAAAAAATAAAAATATATATCTCTCTATAACTAAACTGGATAAAGTGTGTGTGTGGAGGGAAATTCCTTAAAATAGCATTTGACTGAACTTATTAAAAAGGCAAGGTTGAAAATATGAAGTGATTCTCATGATTTAATTAGCTTTTCTGTGTGAGTGCAGGCTAGCATACAACAAAAACACCTCAACTAATCATTAGGCATGTCCTTTCTCAGGAGTTTCTTCTGTCACCAAGATACTCTTGTAACTCAAAACTGTCAAACCCTTTCATTTGACATTGACTGTATACAAAGAATGGGACAAAAGATGTCACCTACCTGGGAGAGGTAGCTGAACTAACAAACCACTAACTCTTGAATCCTTGTTGAGTTTTACAGTCATATCTAAGAGTTCTTCCTGAGAAATGTCTTTAGGCCTCAGTATGATCTCACTAGAAATGCCTGATACAAAACAAAAGCAGAAGACATGTTAGTACCAGGAAATTTATCTACAAACAGCTTACTTGTTTTGTTTGAAAATGCGTGTGATGTTTAACAACTGTTTTAAATAAACATGGAAGACTTGCTAGAAAGTCTGTTGTCATTTTCTGGTCTTTAATGCTGTATTTCTGGATGTTAACTACCATCTTACAACAAAACATACAGAAACAAACAACTACCAACAACCTATAGTTGGACCCAGCAGCTCCAAAACTAAACAACAGCTTCAAAATATTTGGAAAATGAAGCATCTAACTTTTCTACAATTTTGAGAATTTTGCTTTTGAGAATTACAACTACAACTAGCTACACTAGCATTACTGCCATGCTATCTGACAGCTTTTCTACCACAAAACTCGGTATTAGAAAAGAAAGTTTTTCAAGTTATTTCAAAATATTGCCATTTCACTAATAGCAACAACACTCAGGTTTCCCATTTAGGCTATTACACGCTTTCATTTCAAGATGAGGTGTTGTTATCAGTCACTTAAATTCACTGTTTGACTTCATTATGGCTGAAATTTTGCCCTTCTTATTCAAAGCTGCAAAGCCTTGCTTTTGGATTGGCTTGCCTGGCTCTGCTGTGAACTTAAGCATTCAGTGGGACAAATATTCCATGAGATACAACAGATGCACACAAAGACTGGTATTATGAAGAAATTATTGACATTGAGAAGAAAAAGGCTTTTCTCAGTATCTATTTAATCATTGTTCCCATCAATTCTAGGGTAGGATGGATTGCTATCACAGTGGAGTTAGGCTGAAAAAAGCACATAAAAATAAGGAATCTAACAGGTACTGCAAGCTCTTAAGCAAGTATTTCACATTAAAAAAAAAAACAAACAAAACAAACAAACAAAAAAAAACCAACCCCCAAACGAAACTGCCTTGAAGAAAGAACTAAAACCTAACATAATTTCTCTGTTTATCTTCCTTCACCAAGCCCCTCAAAGCCAGTTAAGACATTGAACTGTCAAAAAAATTCCCCAGTGTTCTTCAGTTTCCAGTTTCTAGCAATGAAGGTGCAAACTGCTCCTTGACATTTTTAAATATAGAATTGAATTTATGGCTACCACTCATGTGCCATTAAAATTACTTTGACTCCTTTTCTTCAAGTTCATCAGGGAAGAAAAGGAGGAAAATAGTACAAAATTAAATTGAGATACAAAGAGTGTTTTTTTTATACTTTTAACTAACAGCAACATATGCTTACCAGGATCATTTATATCACATAACACATACCTACAGCTGCAGCTGCTTTTATCTTGTTTCTGACATATATATGACTAGCTGGATTGTCTCCTACTAATATGACAGTGAGATGAGGTCTCTTGTTTCCAAAGGACATCCACAATTCTACATCCTTTTGAACTTCTTTCAAAACTTGTTGAGCGAGCTTTGTCCCTGAGATAATGGTTGCTTCATCACTAGAAAGACAAAAACACACACAATATTTAGCTCTAAGATTTCATGAACAAGACACTTAAATGTGTAATCTACCATGTTAAATACGCGGTTAAATTCCTGTAATCTCCCTTGGCCCCTCAGCCAGCACTACAGCAGATAAATGTTCTTATGCAAAAGGCCCACAACCATTGCCCTATCCTATCCACGGAGAAAAGCAGAGGAAGACTGAAAGTCTTGTGCCTTGAACTTGGCCCAGTACTACTCAGTCCCCCTCTCTCCCTCTATCATGGCTGTGACCATCACCCCAGCCGAAGATATGGACCCCCTCACGCACTTCACCAACCTGCAATAAACAAGAAACCTCCAGCATGTGTAACTTTCAGATGCTAAAATGTTAATTTATTTTGTAGCAGATAAGTAGCCTTTAAAAACTAACTTTATTGCTTGGTGGTGGTGCTTAGAGAGGAGAAAGCAGGAAAAGATGGAAGTGCAAGAAATTGTACCACTGATCTGGTTTAAAACATATTCTGTAAGATCCAAAAACCGTAACTTCAAGCAGACAAAAGGAGTAAGCTGCAGTTTACTCATTTCAGAAATTTCTGCTGCTTCAATCATTCTTAGTACATTTTAATGACCAAAGAAGCTAAATGCAGAAGGTGTGGAAGGTGAAAGGTAGAGGGGGAACAGCAGCAGCGACAGTGAGCCCACACAGGACCAGGCAACCACAAGACCTTCCAAAATCACAGACTTTCTATTGCCTTAGATAAAGAAGTCATCCAAACTCAGCTTCTCTATCTGACTGACAGATGGAGAAATCCAGTCTACATTTTAGGTTACTGGGAAATGGTTCTCAGAGGACTCTGCTACATAAGGAAGAGCAAGATACCTACAGGTAATTTTCTCTGGATTGGAAAATAGTATCTCACTAACTTCCACTACTGCTTAATCCCTTTAAATAAATGAACAACTTATAAGCAGCAAAATGACAACCTCCAAAATGTATTTTAAAATAAAATTTACTTGCAATGGCATCTGAGGTAAACCTTAACAGCACTCCAAAGGCACTCCAGAATAGAAGGGAAGTTGAATTCCCTACTTAATCTTACAAGTCCCACCCTCACCCTTGAATGACACTTTGGTGACAATAATATTAAGAGATACCCTTTAATAAAGCTCTTAATGTCTTTTATGAACTTCCCATGCTGACCTCAACAGGTAACTGCTTAAAGATCAAGTACATCTTGACTGAACAGGGCTTGCTTAAGTACTAATTTGTTCAGATCTTCCAAGTGTCAGCTTTATCTTACCTTGTTTGTTCTCCTGGTTGCTAAAGTTTTCTCCACCTTCTCGCCTGTCTGCTCACTATAAGCAAGCGTAGCCACTCCTCACCTTGTATATGTCCACAGGACATATACCACAACAATTCAAGTTTGCACCTACACTATCTCCTTTACTAACTGAACCTCTCCTCACAGAAACATCAAGAATCCAAACACAATACGTACAATCATCTGATAGAGTAACAAGAAAGTAAATACTACTCTACCTGTAAAAACTCAGTAAAATAACACCAACTCCACAGAAGCAGAACTACCAAGACTGAAGCAAAGTTGAAGTTACTAATGGACAAGTTGACTCCTAATGAGCAGAGCTGTGAGGCACTGTAAGAAAACCAAACCCTCCTGGTTCATCAGCTCCTGCCCAGAGACCATCAACTCATTACTACAAAGTAAGGATGAACCGAAGAGGGTTTCCCTGCTGCAAACATCTTCACTTCCTTCTTTGTGAGGAACAGCTTTACATGTACACATACATACACATGTTGAACCCTGCTTTGAATTGAATAAATTAATTCAACATGACTACCACTTGTAACTGATACAGTGTAGCAGAGACTCCAGGTGATTGACCATGAAGGTGCCCTGATAACTTAAAACAAAAAACCAAACAAACCAAAATAAGAAAAAACAACCCAAAACAAACAGTATTTCTTAAAAAAAAAAAAAAAAAGAAAAGAAAAAAAGAAAGAGAAATTAACACACTCTGCTGATAACAATTTCTCCAACTCTGAGGAAAGCGAAATATTACAAACACAGCACATAAAAGCCATGAATACCTTGTTTCCTTCAATTTTACACCAGCCATAGCTACTTCTCAAACACAAGTTTCTGTAGTGTTTAACTTCAATACATATATATAAAAAAATAATTAAGCCAACAGATGTGGGTTTATTCTTTTCCTGCATGACCTGCTCTCTATGTACTCATTTTCATAGACATCTCTCATCTTCATTATTTATGTTTTAGGTATATGTGCCTTTGGCATCAGACACTTCTTTCCATTACGCCAAATAAATAACTAATGCTTGCCAGTGTAGAAATGCCATACATATTTAAGAATACAAGGACTTCACAATATTTGGGTTACAAAAGATACTCTGAATCCACATGAACGTGTTTTGCATTTCTACGCTATTTTTACTCGGTGTTGCCAAAGAAGAAGTTTTCCTAATCTTTAAGCAAATAACTTTAAAGTGCATGCCTCTTCCTTAAAATCTAGCCACAGACTCGTTAAGTTTCCAAGATCTGTCCTCACTCTGTCATGTTCAACCTTCTCAGTCATCCAAGGATCAAAACCAAAGCAAATGAACAGAAAACCAGTGCCAAAACCACACAGCCACAACACACATTCTAAAGTTGGATAGAACATATGTAATACACCCTATCCAGAAAGTGCTGCAATGGGATCTTCAACACCTGCATCTTTCTGAAGACAACAGTGAGTTCTACAAGCTTCAGCAAAAGCCTCAGGAAAAAAACTTGCCTGTTTCAAGTTAAGACTACTCTGAAAAAAATAATACTCTTGCAATTAATTATTTCAGTCTTGAGAATATATCTCAGATGATCATCATTACAGCAAGACATACTGTTCTTCCTATGAAAGATTTTAATATATTTAATGTAATCACCATAATTATTTACTTGACAAACCTAGTGTTTGACTATTTCAACTTTTGTTGCTTGAACTTTGCTTGACAGATAAAATAAGCAAATGTGTGATGGTATTTTACCTCTATTTTCTAGGAATACGGCAGTATTTATTATCTCTCTTGATCATTATTAGTTCTACTGGGTTCACAATTTCATCCCGATTGGTAAGACAAGGGTACAAACTCAGTATACCATGGAAACATGCATGGCCTGTTGTATAACAGAAGTGTAGGTTTAGTTCCAATGAAAAACCTCCCCAGGAAGAAGAAAAAAAGAAAAGCTCTAGTAGATTAACAAAATGTTTCATTAGGTATTAAGAGAATAAGAGCTTGACATCCTTCAGCAGTAATCTTTTTCTTTGCCTGACTACCCCTGAACATCCAAAACTAAAACATTTTAACACTCTCTGGAAATACATATGCTTGAAGCTTTAATGTGTATTTGTACACAAACAGATTTAACAGATTAAACAGATGTCTAATAAATGTTGAGTTAGCTTGCCATGATGAAAGTAGTTCAAAGGCATTAGTAAACCCAATAATAAATAATAAAGCATTCTGGTTTTGTGTTAAAATTGGATTGGTTTTCACAGTGCTGCCAGTCTGATCAGTTGTGTTTTTTCTGTATCGTATTCTGGGGGACAAGCAAGCCTATACCTAGTACAACATTGAGGAAAAAAACCCCACCATGCTTTCTGAGACAGTCTAAAACAAGATGTGCACTTGGTCTCTACTAGAATAAACCACTCAACCGGAGCAAAACAACATCTGATTAAAGTTTTGTTATATTACTATGATGCGTATTTGTCTATTAGCACACTCAAACATGAGAAATGCTTAACAATTCAACACATGGGGAAACTGTCTAAGCCAGTAGACACCATATTTAGCCACAGACACTTATTTAAGCTTTGTAGACACATTGCGGATTTTAAATGTTATCCTAACAGCATAGGGAAGGAATGAACAGTGGTGAGTTCTGAAACAACTTCTTTCCCCTGCTAATGTTTAAGATGGGGGGGGGGGAACCACCAAAAAACCCCAGGAGAACGAACAAACAAACTGCCAAGGGCATCATCCATTTCTTAAAAGTAACACCAGACACAGGCTTCCCCCTATTGCCTACCAAGCTACTCAAAGAAACGTGTTTAAATAGCAGTGGCTAAAAAGCAGAAACCATTCCTGGGGTTACATACCAATACTGAAAAGGAAACAAATCAGGTGGTAATGCAGTGTCATTTACCATTCCAAATGGAAAAGTTTCTCTTTCTCCTTCCAAGATTATTCTCCATCCTTCTTGACTCCAGAAATTATCTTCCCAAAGTAAGAAAACAGTTGCACTAATACAACTTTTTGTAAACATTATCAAGAACCCACTATCTACTACAAGATCACCATCTACTCATGTCACATTTTTCAAGTCTCTGGATTTACTCTACAACTATTAAAGCTTTAAGCATTCTTCCTGTGTAATACTTAAGGTCCTGAGAGTTTATGAGAGCAGCATACACTTACACACCTGCTAGACTAAATATGCCTCAATTCAGCTCACCTTCCAATTCCAGCAACCTCCTGCATATGGATTCTCTTATTCTGAACCCTGTGTTTATAACAGAACAATTCAGGTACTGAATCCTTTTCATCTGTGCATCCAGTGACTTGCAAGATATTACAGAAACAAAGAACTCAGCTGCTATTTTAGACCATCCTATACACTAAAAGCCCAACATCATATGGGGTATCACAATGGGATGTTCTCAGTATTGTATGTACCACATGAAAACCTTTGTAAAATCATTACAGGAACATCTACGTTTCACAGAACTGGAAAAAACCAAACAAACCAACCAGTTACAAGTAGTAGAGAACAGAAGTAGGGACCCACTGTGCAGAAATACAGTTTGTGGCCTGGAGAACGGAGGAAACTTTGAGGTCAGTATTTCATAGAATCACAGAATGATTTGGGTTGGAAGGGACATTAAAGATCATCCAGTTCCAACCCCCTGCCACAGGCAGGGACACCTTCCACTA